GCAATAACAGACTCCTCCCTTCTCTCTGATTCTTAGCCTGGCCTTTTTTTGCATCTGTGAATTTTGTGAAGGCAATCTTTCATCCAAGCCTAGATAACAAGCTCCCTCTCCCTCCTTATCTCCTCCTAACATCCTTCCATTCCTTCAATCAATCAACAGCATTAATTAAGTACTTACTATGTACCGGGCATGTGTATGTATGTATGGTGTATGTGTGTGTGTGTGTGTGTGTGTGTGTGTGTGTGTGTGTACATATAGTAGTTTGAACATAACACAGTGCCTGGCAGCATTTAATTATCATCCATTTTCACTGTGTGTGTATGTATATGTTTGTATGTGTATACATATATACAGAGAAAATGGAAGGCAATCTCAGAGGGAAGGCACTTGGGGAGAGGGGGAAGGGAGATTTTAGCTGTCTTTTTCCCCCAAGTCATCTTTTTTTTTTAATTTTTAATTAATTTATTTTGGATTATCAACAATCACTTCCATAAACTTTTGAGTTTTTAAACTGTCTTAAAGGCCTCCAAGGAAGGAAGCAGAGATGAAGAGGAGAATGATTAAGATGAAGCCTCTCCTGATTCCCTCTCTTATCTTAGTGCTCTTCAAGTTTCTCTCTCTTTTGTCCTATTGCATTCTGCCTTGTTTGGGGATCCATAGGGGCATAGATTTAAAACTAGAAGAGATCTCAAAAGTGATCTAGTTGGACCCCCTCCCCATTCTACAGAAGAGAAAACTGAGGCTCAGAAATGTGACTTCCCTAAGATCATCTAGTTGATAATCGTCAGATCTGGGGTTCAGAAACCAAGTCCAGCATTTTTTTTCCCATTCCACAAAACTGTCGTAACAGAAATAAAGGTCAGTTCCATTCAGTAGACCTATATAAATACCTAAGACCACAAGACACAAAGATGCAGAAAGTATAGTTGCCTCCCTCATAGAATTACAGCTTAATAAGGGGTACCTAGAGAAGTACAATTCAAGGTGAAGAGTGGCAACCATTTTTACTAGAGGTTTGGGCCAAAGAAATGAACAGAATCCGTTTCCCCCTTGACCCAAGGTTTGCCCAAAGAACAAACCAAACCAGGTTCACATTACCAAATGTTTGACCAGTGAACAAACACAACCAGGCTGTACATGTGCTCTAATATCCTTATTTATTTTCATTAAGCCAGAGAATCATGCACTGCATGGTGGAGTCAGAAAATAGTTCTGAACTCAGAGGTAAACAAGCTGGAGGAGACCCTTTATACACTTAGAGCAATCCCAACTCAGGATGCCTATGCCAACCCAAAATTATAGCCTCCATACGTGTTTAACCATAATGTGAGAAAGGAATTTCTTAATGGGACAGGTTGTAAATACAACAAGATAAGAGAATGTCAAGGTGTCAATTGAAATTATAGATCCAGGGTGTCTGTGTTTTTTAAATCATTAACATGTACATGTGTGTGTATATATATATACATATATATATATTTATGCGTGTGTGTGTATATATATATATATATTTATGCATGTGTGTGTATATATATATACATATATATATACACACATACTCATACACACATACACATACACACATACACTCAGCATAGCATAGCACGTATCCATTAAATACCAAGATAAGAAAAGTCCCATTACTCAAGATGGTGTCTGGTTCAAGGCACCTTGTCCTTGGTGGTCATAAACAGAAGAATGACTGGAAGTCCTGATCAGCTTCATCTGGCCTTGCAGTTGCTGACACAGGAAGGGGCATTTTGGGTTCACTCAGAGAGCAAAGCATATCTGTTATGCCAGAGCACACAAAGCATTATGGTAGGTTAAGCTCAAAGTGGACCAAAAATGTCTTTCTCCTGATTGGCCGATCCAGGTTTTAGGCCTTTCTCAGTCAATGGGGCCCCCAAAATGGTTTACAGGAGTGATGGACAAAGGAGAGAGCTAGACAAAGTGTCCCAGGGAAACACACAGAAAAAGAACAGGAGAAAAGTTCATAAGAAAATAGACAAGCTGGCTGGCTTCAAAAGGGACATGTTCAATGTATGATGTACTTTTTTTAAGAAGTAAGCTGTATATAAAAGAGATTGGTGATTTCACACATAACTATCTTTTTCTGTTCTACTTTTTCTTTGGAAATGATCTCTTTTTTGATGGATTTTTTTTTTCAAGAATGAGGAAAAATGGGGCAGCTAGGTGGTGCAGTGGATAGAATACCAGCCCGGGAGTCAGGAGGACCTGAGTTCAAATCTTGCCTCAGACACTTGACACTTACTAGCTGTGTGACCCTGGGCAAGTCACTTAACTCCATTGCCTAGCCAAAAAAAAAAATAATAATGAGGAAAAATACAGAGGCAGCTATATGGCAAAGTAGATAGAATGCCCAGGGCCTGGAGTCTGGAAGACTCCTCTTCCTAAGTGAATTCAAATTTGGCCTGAGATACTAGCTATGTGACCCTGGGCAAGTCATTTAACCTTGTTTGCCTCAGTTTCCTCATCTGTCAAATAAGCTGGAGAAGGAAATGGCACACCACTCCAGTATCTTTGCCAAGAAAACCCCAAATGGGGTCATGAAGAGTCTGACATGACTGAAAAATGACTGAAAAGTAAAGAAAAAGTGAGGAGAAACAGAACACCTTGAGCTGGGAGAATCAGGGCAGGCTTCATAAAGAAGTTGGTCCCGGAACTGAACCCGGAAGGAAAAGGATTCTAAAAGGCAGAGAGATAAGGAGGGAGTGCATTCCAGGCCTAGGGAAGGCTCATGCAAATGCCAGGGGCAAGAGGTAGCACATCCTACTAGAGGAAGGGCAGTTGTCCTGAATAGTCCCTGGACTTTTGAGTAGGTAAAGGGGAGGGCTATGCAATCAGCCTGGAAAGGTTGGTTGGGATGGCAGTGATCTCAGTGTAGATAGAGTGCCTACCTCCTCTCAATTCATTGTACAGATTCTAGGTGCAGAATGTACATTGCCTGGAATGGCCATGACTGTGTTGCTTGGCTTTATTTCTTTGTCACTGGGAGAAGAGAATCATTGGGAAGTGATGTTGATGGTTTGAAAAAAAATAGTATCAATAATTTTTTTTTAATTGGGGAAGGAGATAGATTGAAACTAGATTGTGGTGGACCTTGAATGCCAGGCTAAGGAGTTTACATTTTATCCCTTTGAGGCAATAGGGAGCCACTGAAGGTTTTAGAGCAGTGGACTGATTTGGTCAGTCTTGTTCTTGAGGAAGACTCCAGGCAAGTAGCCTCCCTGAATAGTGTCTGGGATGCCAGAGTATGCCCAGAGCCACATTAGACTGGAATAAGAAAGGTGACCTGAAGCCTCCAAGGCACAAGAAATTCCTACTGTGGTCCTTCCCCTCCCCCACTCCAATATTTCCCTTTCATCTACATCAAATGCATAGATAACCTCTCCTGCTGCTTTATTCTGATAAAGAGATTGATGAATAATATGAGACCTATTTATTAGCTGTAGAATTTGTCCACCACCACAGTCCCTGTGTTTAGGGAAGGCAACCAGGTAGAGGAGAAAGAGTCTTTGCCTTGTAGTCTGAAGACACAGCCTTGTCCTTGGTATGTTGAAGCACCATCCCCTCTCTGGGCCTCAGCTTCCCAATCTGTCAAATGTGACCTGGAGACTACGGAAGATAGAAACAAGATGATGAAGGGCAAATGAATACAAATATATGGCTTGGTCCTATGAGAAGAGTGTCAGGAAAACTAAAGCTTAGAATGACCTGAATCTACCAAAGAAAGGAAATGACAGCAAAAGATTTGTTTGATTGGCTGGTTTTTTGGATTTTTTTCAAAAAGCTAAGTTAGAAAAATGGGGAGGGAGGATCAGCTGGGTGGTGCAGTGAATAGAGCACCAGTTCTGGAGTCAGGAGGACCTGAGTTCAAATCCAGCCTCAGACACTTAGCTGTGTGACCTTAAGCAAGTCACTTAACCTCAATTGCCTCCAAAAAACCTGTTTTTTTAATTGTGGAAGATCAGAGAAGGGATAGGAATGCTGCTGGGGGTAGGTTAGCCCCTTTCCAAAGGGATAAGCAATGACTTCCATAACTCTCAGCAATATGAATTAAATCAGGCTCACTGAAGTTCCTTCTTAAATTCTATGATTCTGGGGTGAATAACAAACCATGGTGGGGGCAGGGGGAGCAGAACTACTCATTTGGATTCCTAAAAAACAAATTGGAGTCCAAAGAAAGAAAGAGAGAAAGAAAGAAAGAAAGAAAGAAAGGAAGGAAGGAAGGAAGGAAGGAAGGAAGGAAGGAAGGAAGAAAGAAAGAAGAAAGAAAGAAAGAAAGAAAGAAAGAAAGAAAGAAAGAAAGAAAGAAAGAAAGAAAGAAAGAAAGAAAGAAAGAAAGGAAGAAAGGAAGGAAGGAAGGAAGGAAGGAAGGAAGGAAGGAAGGAAGGAAGGAGAGAAAGAAAGAGAGAAAGAAAGAAAGAAAGAAAGAAAGAAAGAAAGAAAGAAAGAAAGAAAGAAAGAAAGAAAGAAAGAAAGAAAGAAAGAAAGAAATTCACAAGCACAAGATGGAAGAAGTGAAGCTAGAAAGGAGTTTATGTGGAAAAAAAAAGTTCCGGGGGATCCCAGATAGAACCCAAGATAAAAATACAGCAGCAGGGTGACTTGGCTCCCAGAAAACCTAATGAGAGCTTGGGCATAAGGCCTAGGATGAGGAAGGTGGCCATCTTGTCCTCGGCCCTGATGGGACCACATCTGGAGCAGCAGATGCACACATAAGAAAATAGAACTTTCAGCAGTGGAAAGAGCGCTGGTTGTGAAGTCAGAAGAGATCCAGGTTGGAATCATACCTGTCTCAGTAATTGTGTGATCTTGGGCGAGTCCTTTCATCTCCTGGGCCTTACATGTCCTCATTTATAAAATGAGAGGGTTGGACCAGAAAGTCTGTGGTGGGGCTGATTTTGGGGGAGGGGAAGAGGGAAGCAATGACCACTGGGGTGTTGGGAAAAGCCTTGTGTTCCTCACTTCCCTTCCAGGGTAGCAAGGAACGGTTTCACTGGCAAAGTCACAATGTGAAACAGAGCGGTGTGGATGACATGGTGCTGCTCCCCCAGATCAACGAGGATGCCATTGTGAGCAACCTCAAGAAGAGGTTCCTGGATGACTACATCTTTGTATCCACCCAAGGCAAGCAGGGGACCAGAACCGGGCAGAACCTGAAGAGGTCAGGGGAATGCCCCTTTCCTTTTCCTCCTATGCCCTTTCCTTCTCTTCCCTCTCCTTCTGAGGAGGAGCAAGCAAGGCTGGGCAATTGGTCGTGGCTCTGGCCTTCCCTGGGGTGTGGATCATGGGGCATGGGATTCTGGCTGCAAAGTAACTGTAGGCAGTGAATAGATAAGAGTACTGGGCCTAGAGTCAGGAAAATCGGATTTCACATCCAGCCTTTGACACTTAACTGGCTCTGTGACCTTGGGCAAGTCACTTAAACTCAGTTTCCTCATCTATAATGTGGGGCTAATAATAGCACCGACTTCCCAGGGCTGTTGTGAGGATCAAATGAGGTAATTGAAAAGTGCTTGGCACAGAGCCTTGGTACATACTGCTACATAAATATCAGCTATTATTATTACACCAGGGGATCAGCTGAAGAAACTGGGGGTTTTAGCTTGGAAAAGAAGACTGGGAAGAAGGAGGACATTATATATTCAAGTATTTGAAGGAGAGAAGACAGATGGGCTGTCTTAAAGAAGAGGGCTGTGCTTAGCCTCAGAGGGCGAGGACCATAGGTCTAAAGCTGAGAGACATCTCCAGGGTCATCCAGTCCAACTCTGTCATTTTACAAATGAGGGAACTGAAGCCAGGAAATGGCCTTGAGGCAGATTTTGGTTTCATAGAGAGAAAAACCTCCTAACCATGAGACATGTACAACCATGTACAAAAGAGGAAAGAGCTGCTCCAGGTAATAGCTGGTTCCTCTTCCCCAGAGGTCTTTAGGCAGACTGGATGGCCATTTGTTGGGGATGTGCAGTGGAAAGAGCCCTGGCTCTAGAACTGGGTAACCTGGATCTCAATTCCAACTCACTTTGCCACTTACTAGATGTTTGACCTTGGAGGTTAGACTAAAGCCCCCTTCCAGCTCCAACTCTATGGTCCTAAGGCCCCCTTCCAGCTCTGATGCTGGGATCCCAGACAAGCCTGTTTTAAAGCAGAGTTCCTATTCAGAGGCAGGCTAGACCAGAGGCCTTCTGGGCTCTCTTTCATTGAAAGCAGGTATCAGGAAAAGGGAAGGAGGGGATTCCACCAGGAACCTTGTCTGGTCCTTAACCCAGTAGCTCAGACCTACATTGGCTCAGTCCTTATCTCTGTCAACCCCTTCAAGCAGATGCCATATTTCACTGACCGAGAGATTGAGCTGTACCAAGGAGCGGTGAGACCTGGGCCTTGGGGTAGCTAGGGTCGGGGGAGGGGGGAGAATGTATTTGTAAGGAGAGGTTGGTGTCTCCATTTACCCCAGTTCATGATGTAAACAGACTAAATTACACTCCATTTCTTCAATCTCCACCCCGCTTCCCAGCATAACTGATTCTCTGGGTCCACCAGGGTCTCTGAAATGTCTGCAGTCCCCCAGGATCTCTGAGGTTCCTTGGATGCCTATAGACTCTCTGAGATCCTCTCTGATCTTCCCAAGAATTCCAACTCTATTAGCTTCCCTTGGGCCTCAGTTTCCTCATCTGTAAAATGAGGAGATTGAACTACATGACCTCCAAGTTCCCTCCCAGTTCTAGATATGACCTTTCCCTCATCCTACTCCAGAACTTTCATAATATCCAACAGTAGGGAGGGGTCCCTCAGGGCTCTGCCCACCTGATTCCCCTCTCAACAGAGGGAAGGAACAGGCACTGTAAGGGCCCTGACTTTCTCTTCTTCATCCACACAACCCCAGGCACAGTATGAGAACCCTCCACACATCTATGCCCTCACGGACAATATGTATCGAAACATGCTCATTGACAGTGAAAACCAGTGTGTCATTATCAGGTATCGCTAAGCCTCACACTCTGACCCCCTCACACCTTCCCTGCCCCCAATCTATCCTGGATCTTCTACCCCCTTTGTGTCTTCCCTACCCTATCCTGCTAGGCCCTAGTTAACCCACCCAGGAGCTGGGAGCCCAGACTTGAATATCTCCATCCCCATCCCTCCGCTGTTTCCATCTCCTTCCCCCTCTTCTCTGGATTTGAGGGACACAGCACACAGAACCCTTTGGGTCCCCCTTGCTCTGGGAGAGCAGGGTCCTATATCTCTCCTCTCCCCCCACAGCGGAGAAAGTGGGGCAGGGAAGACAGTGGCTGCCAAATACATCATGGGTTACATATCCAAGGTGTCTGGAGGGGGAGAGAAGGTCCAGGTGAGTAGGACAGAGGGGGAAACAGCCACCTTCATGGCCCCCTATACTCACCTAATGAGTCCAGATAAGCAGAGGCCTGGAGACCACAAAGATCATGTAAATGGGGATGTCTAGCCTGAAGATCAGATTGGGGGGGGATTGGAGGGGGGGGTTGGGGGGAACAGTCCAGGGGCCTCAACTACATGAAATTCATATAAAAGGGATTAGACTTGTTCTACTTGGTTCCAAAGGGTAGAACCAGGAACATTGTTGGTGGAAGTTTTTAGGCTTGATGTAGAACTGTGGGCTGCCTCAGGAAGGTGCTAGCTCCTATTACCAAAAAAAAAAAAAAAGCCAACAAGCAGAAGCTGGCTGACCATTGACCAAAGCTGTTTTATTGGGGTTCATTGGAAAGAGCTAGATTTGAAGCCAGAGAACCTGGATTTAAATCCCAGTTCTGCTCTTTAATTGTGTGGCTTGGGTAAGTCATTTAACCTCAGGACCTCAGTTTCCTCATTTGAAAAAGTAAGGACATTAGACCTGAAAGTTCTTTCCAGCTTTTCATCTGGGTTCCTAGGAGGATCTCAAGAGGGAGTCAGGAGCACTAGATTTGAGTCCTGGCTACAACACAACCTGCTTATGTGGCCATGAGCAAGTCACTTCCCCTCTCCGGGCCTCAGTATCCTCATATGTAAAAGGGGGGGATGAAGATGCATAAACTGCCTTCCCCACAGGAGCAAAGTGAAGGAAGTGCCTTCCAAACCTTAAAGCATTAGAGAAACAAAATAGACAGGGGTTGGACCTGTCATTTAATTAGTGTAAGGCACTCCCAGAGGAGGAAACTCCCTCTACTACTATAGGTGGGCACCTCTGCAACTTAGAAGTTTGCCTGGAGCTCTGAAGGGTCTTGCCCAGGGTCAGAGGGAGGACATGATCCCAGGAAGTCTTCCTGACCCAGAGATTGGTTTCCTTTCCAATAGCTCCCACCCACACCTCCCACCTGGCACATGGCCTAGAGCTAAGGACCCGCCCCATGACTTCATTAGAATTGGGAATTCCTGACTCCGGATCCCAGATCCCAATTCAGGCACCTTCTCTGCAGCTCAGAGTTATAGAGAGCTGCCTAGCATCACATAGCTAGGAAGTGGCAGAGGCAGGAATTTAACTTGTCTTCCTGACTCCAAGGCTAGCTCTCTATCTACCCATCAGAGAAATGGGACTATGTGGTCTCCATGGCCCATTCCAGCTCTAGAATTCTGGATCTCCTGTTATGTGCCTTTGGCCAGGCCAGTCTCTGGCCTTGATACCTACTCTGACCTTAACCTTGACCTTGACCCTGACTCTTCCTGTCTCCCCCCATTCATCCCACCTGCAGCATGTAAAGGACATCATCCTTCAATCCAACCCATTGCTGGAAGCCTTTGGCAATGCCAAGACTGTTCGCAACAACAACTCCAGCCGTTTTGTGAGTCTGCCCAGTATGAGTCCTGGAACACCCAACACCCAACCCATAGTCAGCCACACACGACCCACACCAGCCTTTCAGGGGCTTACTCCATGAGCCCAATACTGTCATCATTGGTGCCATCCTCCTCACTGGTGCCATTACTGGTGCCATGTCCACTCAGCCTCTCAGGCCTAGCCCAAGCCCTCCCACCACCCTGAAACCTGTTCTGCCCAACCCAGCCCACAGGACTCTCTCCTGTTCCTGAACAAAAGGGTACTGAGCTTGGACCTAAGAACTATTTCCTCCTTGAGAAAGCAGAAAGAACATTTGATTTTGGAGCCAAAGAACATGACTTTAAATGCCAGTTCTGCTGTGTGAGCAAGTTTCCCCTTTTGGAGTATGTTTCTTTGCCTGTAAAATGTGGTGGGGTCCAATAAATAACCTATAAGGTCCCTTTAGCTGGAAGTCTACAATCCTGCATTGGTCTCTAAAATGACAATGAGGTCCTAGATAGCTGGGGCTCTGCCTTATCTGACTCCTACTACCCAATAGCATTGAAGGCTCTAGCCCTGGCACCCCTGTAAACATGGGCTCCAAAGTCCCATCCCTAGACATCCCTTTCCTCATACGTGTGCAACAATACAAGGCTTGCAAGGCACTGACTGGCTTCTCTGGGCCCAGGGCAAGTACTTTGAGATCCAGTTCAGTCGAGGAGGGGAGCCTGATGGTGGGAAGATCTCCAACTTCCTCCTGGAGAAATCTAGAGTGGTCTCACAGAACGAGAATGAAAGGAACTTCCACATCTACTACCAGGTGAGAGGAGAAGGGGAGAGGGGCTGATGCTGGGACCCTGGGAGCAGAGGAAGACTTGGAAAACACTGTTGGGGACCAATCAGTTGGTGGATCAACAAGCATTTATCAAGCAGATCTGATGTGCAAAGATAAGTGAAGCAGAGCCGGCTGTCAAGGAGACAAGTATATATCAAGCGGATGCAAACTGTGCAAGCTACTTTAGGGAGAGTGGTCAGGAGAAGTGAGCATGGAAGGAGGTCAAGGGAAGGGGATGGATGCTCACAGGGGCCCAGTGAGTAGAGGCAATTGGGAGTTGGGGGAAGAAGCTAGCAATACAGAAAACCAGAGGGCCAAGGGCTGGAGGAGGAACCTGTGACTCAGAATCCAGGAGGCAAGAAGGTAAGTGATGCATTCACCCAGGGCTAAATGATACTGAGACCCTGGAGGTGGAGGACTGGGTGGGGCTGGGGCCTGGAAGGTAGGTGGTTCAAGTGTCTAGGTTGAGAGACTACTATTGTCTCCATGGACTCTTCTGAGAATTGATGAGTGCGGGGCACTGGGCACATAGAAGGCTGGTTTAGGGAGGCAGGGTCTCCCACCCTCCATCTATCTATCCTTCTTTCCACCCATTTCCTTCTCTCCCCTCCTCGCCCCCACCCCAAGCTGCTAGAAGGTGCCTCCCAGGAGCAGCGGCAGAACCTGGGCATCATGACCCCTGACTACTATTATTACCTCAACCAATCTGACACTTACAAAGTGGATGACACCAATGACCTCAATGACTTCCATGAGACTCTGGTAAGGGCCCAGTGACCCCTCCTCCCACCAGCTGCCCCCCTCCCCAGTGTCTAGGCTGAGCCCACAGGTAGATGCCTGAGTCTGGGACAAGGCCACCTTCTCTATTCATGTCAGGTTGTAAAGCTAGGGGAGGCTCTGTCCTGGACACAGAGGGCACAGGGACTATAGCAGGGGTGACCCAGGCATGGAGACAAAGGCAGAGATGGAGATGAGACATGGAAAGGGACAGGAACAGAGACAGACACACAGAGAAAGGGGCATGGGCAAAGATGGGAGACGGGCAGGCAGCAGAGACAGAGGAAGGAGCAGGAGCAGATGGGGGCAGGGGCAGAGAGAGGATACGAGCAGGGAAAGAGGACAGGGACAGGAAGTGGGCCAGGATCGGAGGCTCCCAATAAAGACGCCAACCACCTTGGGCTGGGCCCACAGGATGCCATGCAGGTCATCGGAATCCCACCCAATGCTCAGCAGCTGGTGCTACAGATCGTGGCTGGAATCCTGCACCTGGGGAACATTAGCTTTTGTGAAGAGGGGAACTATGCCAGAGTGGAAAGTACAGACTGTGAGTGCCCAGGGATGCGCATGGGAACCCAGGGAAAAGAGTTCTAACTGGGAAGAGGACAGCGGGAAGCAGGGGAGAGAGAGGGAGACTTGGGAGTCGTTCACGTTAGGGGGCAGCAGGACCTATGAGTAAAGGGGTGGTGAGGCTGTGGGGGCTAGGGAGCCACGGCCCTGACCTCAGACCCTCATCCCGGCCCTTTCCCCAGTGCTGGCCTTCCCTGCCTACTTGCTGGGCATTGACAGCGGGCGCCTCCGGGACAAACTAACCAGCCGTAAGATGGACAGCCGATGGGGCGGCCGCACAGAGTCCATTAACGTAACTCTGGGTGTGGAGCAGGCCGCCTACACACGAGATGCCCTGGCTAAGGGGCTCTATGCCCGGCTCTTTGATTTCCTGGTGGAGGTAAGCCCTGGTGTGCTGAGTAGGGAAGAAGGTATGAGAAGCAGCCTGGCATACTGGACGGAGTGCTGGGCATGGGTTGAATGCCACTGCAGCCATCTACAAGCTGTGTGACCCTGGGCAAGGCACTGAAACTCATAAAGTGGGAATGGTGGTTTCTGCCTCACAGCAGGGCTATGGGAGGATCAAATGAGGTCATGTGCATAAAGGGCTTTGCAACCTTAAAGAACCATAGGAATATAAATTATGATTAGAAGAAGGGTGAGCCCTGGGCCAACAGCTTCAGGGGGTCTAGGAGGACAGTGTTTGGGGTAGGCCGAGCCTCTCCAAATCTACCATGTAAGGCAATGGGGAAATCTTGTCTATAAGAGACTTTCACACTCTCTTTCTATTAAAAAAAAATAAAGCTTTTATTAATGTCTTTTTTTTTAACATCACCATAATTTCCCCCAGTATCCTTCCCCTTCTCCCATCCAGAAAACCACTCAACATGACAAATAATTTTTTTTAAAGACAGAAGAAATAGAAGGGAAAAAATGAGGATGATTGATCACTACATTTAAAAAGTCCTACATTCATGGGCCACACACTCCTACAGTGGGGTGGGGTGGGGATGTCTTCTCATGGCTCTTTTGAGTCATACTTGTTTTTTGTAATTTTGCAATTTTCACTTTTGGTTTTCTGTAGTTTTTTTCCATTTACATTGTTGTGGTCATTATGTATATTGCTTTCTTGGCTCAGCTTCCTTCACTTTGTATCAGTTCACATAGATCTTTCTAAGCTTCTCTGTAATCATCACACACATCATTTCTTACAACACAGTAATATTCCATTTACATTCATGTACCCTGACTCATTTAGGCATGCCCCAATCAATGGCATCTACTTTGTTTCCAATCCAAAAGTGCTGCCGTAAATATTTGGGGGTACATGGAGACTTGCTTCTTATCAATAGGCTCTTTGGACCTAGCAGCAGAATCTCTGGGTGAGAAGGATATAGACATTTTAGTTATTTTATTTGCATAATTCCAAATTGCTTTCCAAAATGGTTGTACCAATTCACAGCTCCACCAACAATGCACCAGCATGTCTATATCCCCACAACACCTCCCATACTGACTATTCCCACATTTTGTCATCTTTGCCAACTTGCAGGGTATATAAGGTGAAAGAAACCTAGGGGTTAGGGGATAACAGTAGATAAGAGCCCTAGAGTTGGAGTCAGGAAGGCCTAAATTCAAATCCTATCTCAGACACTTACTAGCTGTAAAAGGACAAGTCACTTAAACTCCAGTTTCCTCATCTGTAAAATGGGGATAATAATATTACCTACATCATTGGGTTATTGTGAGGATCAAATGAGGTAATGTAAAGATTTGCAAAACTTGCAAGAGGGTTTTATAAGTACTAGCTATTATTATTTTTTGCATTTCTTTTGTTATTATTGACTTGAAGCATTCTTTCATATGATTATTAATAGTTTACATTTCTTCTTTTGATACTATTTATTCGTATCCTTTGACCACTTATCCCCATGGTCTCTGGGAAAAGGGAGTAGATATTAAAGGAGAATGAGAGAATGACAGGGAAAACATGGAAACTCTCACACAAGACAAGCCACTCTCCCTGCCCCCACCCCCTCCTCAGTTTCCTCATTTGTAAAATTAGCAGGTAGTTGAATAACCTATATCAAATTGCTTACCATCTCAAGGAGGTGGAAGATGAAGAGAAAAAATTTGGAACTCAAAAAGATTTTAAATGAATGTTTAAAAGTTTTTACATATAATTGGGGAAAAATAAAATAAAAATTAGCAGATGGTCTCTAGGCTTCCTCTGAGAGGGAGACCCCCATTCTATGAGTCAATGATCTCTCTTATCTCATTCCTTCTCTCCTAAAACCTACCTTCTGCCAACCCCCCTACTCTCTCCTGTAGACTTTCATCTTAATTCTGAGATCCCAAACCTCTCCCATCCCCATCCCCATTCCCCAAGCCTTTGTTATAATTATTATCAATAATATTAGTAATTGTTTTGTATTTAAGTTTAAAGTGAATTAAAAAATTACCAAAAAAAAAAAGAGGAAGTTCTGGAAAGGGGAACTGGAGGCAGGGTACAGAACCTTGGGCCATCACTGCTCCCTTTTGATGAACTGAGGGAGGGTACTGGGCAGCCCTGCTGGGTACTGGGTAGCCCTGCTGGATACTGGGTACTCCTGACAGCCCAGGCTCTGCCCCTTCCCTCCCTAGGCTATAAACCGAGCCATGCAGAAACCACAAGAAGAATACAGCATTGGAGTCCTGGATATCTACGGCTTTGAGATATTCCAGGTACCAGACAACATAGTAGATAGATAGAGCCAAGCTTGGGCCTCAGCATCCCTTTTTTCCCATTCTGGTCCCATCCCTGCCTTGTACTCCCCTCTACCTCCCATCCTCAAAGAGCCAGAGGTTCATCCACTGCCCTCACTGCCACCCTATTAGGAGTGGAGGGGTCGGGTACAGAGATGGGCTGAAAGCAGGGAATGGTGATGGCTTCAGTGCCCCCTTTCTGCCCCCAGAGAAATGGCTTTGAGCAGTTCTGCATCAACTTTGTGAATGAGAAACTGCAGCAGATTTTCATCGAGCTGACACTGAAGGCTGAGCAGGTGAGCGCTCAGACACCAGCAAGAGGGGAAAAGACAGAGGAGGAGACAAGGGTCATTCTGTTCCTATATCAATTGACATTTTCCAAAGCAGTAGCATTCCCAGAATGGAGCCTCCTGGGGGCCAGATCTCAAGAGATGAAATCTCATTGTAACAAAAGTAACATCCTTACGCTTTGGTTCAAACGCAGCAAGGGTATGTTAGAAGAGCTCTGGGGTCAGGCAGGCATTTTTAAAGGACCTACTTTGTGCCAGGCGCTGTGCAAAGCGCTGAGGGTACTAAGAAAGGCAGAAAACAGTTCCCGCTCTCCAGGAGCTCACTGTCTAATGGGGGAGCAACGGCCAAACAACTATGTGTGAACAAGCTAGAGACACGATGGATCGGAGAGAATCAACAGAAGGAAGACACTGGGATTAAGGGCGATGGGGAAAGGCTTCCTGCGGAAGGTGGGATTTTAGCTAGGACTTGGAGGAAGCCAGAGAAGCCAGGAGGTAGAGGTGAAGAAGGAGAGAATACAAGGCATGGGGAACAGCCCAGTGAAAATGCCCAAAGTCAAGAGATCGATTAGTCTTGTTAGCGCAAGTTAGGAACAGCAAGAAGGCCTGTGTCGCTGATCACAGGGTGGGGGTAGGGGATACAACTAGGGGCAGCTAGGTGGTGCAGTGGATAGAGTTCAGAAGAAGACCCATCTTTCTGAGTTCAAATCTGGCCCTCAGACACTTCTTAGCTGTGTGACCCTGGGCAAGTCACTTAACCCTTTTGCCTCAGTTTCCTCATTTGTAAAATGAGCCAGAGAAGGAAATGGCAAACCACTCCAGTATCTCTGCCAAGAAAGACATGAAGAGTTGGACATGACTGAACAACAACACAGGGTTAGGAGAGGATGGTAAGGTGTAAGAAAATTAGAAAAGTGTGAGGAGGCAGCAGGTTATGAAGGTCTTTAAGAGCCAAATACAGGATTTTATAGTTGATCCCGGAGGTAATAGGAAGCCACTAGGATTTACTGAGGGGAGGACGTAGCATGGGCAGAGGTATACTTTAGACAGATCACAACCCATATAAGTAAATACAAAATTGGTGGGGAGCGCTCACGGTTGGGGGGGGGGGTCTGTAAAGGTCTCGGGTAGGAGGTGGCTCTTAAACTGGGCCTGGAAGGAAGCTAGGATTTCCTAGAGGCAAAAGTGAGGAAGGTGACATTCCAAGCACAGAGACAACCTGTGTGAAGGGCAGGTGCTGAGCCTGGAGATAGAGTATTGCATATGGGCAACAGGAAGCAGCCAGGTTTGCAGCCAGGTTTAACTGGATCACAGTGCTCTGCTAGAAGAGTAGTGTTGGGGGGCATGGTTTCTGCTCAGTATACTCTCCAAGGGATTTCAAAGCCCTTCCAGGCTTCGCCTGGCCCTCCAGCCCTGACTATGCACACAGACACCCAGGCTCTGCTATTCAGCTTTGACTTTCCCTGGGCAAAATACAGACAGAGCATTTATTAAGTGCTTACTGTGTGTGCCAGGTGCTATTCTTAGCCATGGTGATACAGATACAAGCAGGTAAGGCAATCCCTACCCTCAAGAAACTTACTTCCTAATGGGAAGCAGAGAGAGACCATATATAAAGAAGTGCTGGGAAGGAGTGGGGAGGTACTTGCAATGGATGGTGGCTGGGAAGTGAGGTAGAGGGAGACCTGAGTCTGGGCAGGATAAGATGAAAGCTCCCCTATCAAAGCCCCAGGTGCTCCCTGGGATGGAGGAAAGGAGACAGGGTTTAGAGCAGGTCAAAGGAACCCTGGGCTCCTTGCCTAGAATGGGGGGGTGTCTCTCTAGCCACTGTCTCCCTTCAGTTCCCCCCTATTTACCCACTACTTATTGTCTTGTTCTGCCCCTCCGCAGGAGGAGTATGTTCAGGAAGGCATCAAATGGAGCCCCATTCAGTACTTCAACAACAAGATTGTGTGTGACCTCATTGAAAACAAACTGGTGAGCCCAGGATCTGGGTGATGCGAGTGGGGAGCAGGGCATGCTGGATAAAGGGCCTATGAGAAAGGGCTGGGGTGGAGGAGGTGAATTTCTTCCCAGACGATACTATGGATGTCCACCACCAGGAAGGGGAGCTTTGAGTATGTACTGTTCCCAACTCCATTGTGACTCCCAACCAAGCAGTCTTGGTCAAGGACAAAGCCACCAGTGATCATAGCCTGTGATCACAAGAGCAGTCAGTGGTCACAAAGGAGGTCAGTGGTCAGTGCTGACATAGGTGAAGATCTAATACAATCTAATTCAATGAAGATCTAAAGATCCCTGGTTTAGATCCCAGGATTTGGGCAGGAGTCAGGACAGGGAGTATGATGGGGAGTATGCTGGATTTTGAGTAGAAGTGGATTCAGATCCCAATTCTGCCACTGTCTATGTGACCCAGGGCAAACCACTCTCTCTGGGACTCAGTTTCCTTTCCCAAAAATGAGGGCTTCAGATTAGATGACCTATAAGGATCCTTCCAGTTCTAAATAGCCCACCAGCCCCTGGTCCTTGGGATGACCGTGCCAAGGGATGCCTATGGGATGGGGAGGGAATACTGGGCACCATGCTCAGGTCTGAGCCTTTTCTCTGGCCCCAGAATCCTCCAGGCATCATGAGTGTACTGGATGATGTGTGTGCCACAATGCACGCCACGGGTGATGGGGCTGACCAGACCCTGCTACAGAAGCTACAGGGGGCCGTGGGCTGCCACGAGCACTTTAACAGCTGGAACTCAGGCTTCGTCATCCACCACTATGCGGGCAAGGTACGGTCTAGCCCCACCTTCATCATCCCTGGGATTCCCCCAGCTTCTACCAGTTGAACCATTCCACATACCTGAGCTACCCCACCTCCACCCCTCCCCATTTCTGATACAAAGTAAGCCCTTTAGAACAGAGAAATTTTGTTGCTTTGTCTAGACCTCCCCAGTGCCCAGCACATGGCTTTGTGCTCAGGGATAGGCGCTCAACCTGTGAATTTCTTGATCTAAGGAAACTCTGGATTCAGAAATTCCCTTTACTAAATCAGGGCAGCCCCTGCTCTGCTTAATACATGTTCATTGGTTGATTGGTTGATTGACAGTTTGCCGGAGCACTGAGAGACCTGCCCAGGGGCCCCACAGCCGGCACATGTAAGAGTTAGGCCTTGCAGCTAGGTGGCACAGTGGATGGAGCTCTGGCCTTGGAGTCAGGAGGACCTGAGTTCAGATCTGCCCTCAGACACCTGACACTAGCTGTGTGACTCTGGGCAAGTCACTTAACCCCTTTGCCTCACCAAAACAAACAAGCAAACAAAAAATATGTAGCTGTTTAAAAAAAAAAAAAGTTGGGCCTTGAAAGCAAATCTTTCTCTCTAAACTATACTAAGGACAGAGATATGATGTCACTGATGGAGAGGAGTCCCGGAGAAGCACTTCTCTCAATAAGGATTGTCACCTTCTCTGCCTTAGACAGTCACCTCCAGTGCTGAGAAGTTTACTGGCTTGCTTGCCTAGAGCCCCATTGCCAGTATGCCTAAGACATAGGACTCGAACCCAGTTCTTCTTGGCTCTGAGACCAGGTCTCTAGTTGCTGTATCGATAACGTCTCCTTCTTCTAAGTAAATGCTTAATATATATCTGGTAAGGGGGCAGCTAGGTGGCGCAGTGGATAGAGTACCGACCCTGGAGTCAGGAGGACCTGAGTTCAAATCCGGCCTCAGACACATAACACTCACTAGCTGTGTGACTCTGGGTGAGTCACTTAACCCCATTGCCTAGACAAAATAAATAAATAAATATTTGGTAAATCAAATTCATTTCAATTGGATCATGCCCTTCATCCCACTGCCCCTGCCCAGCCACCACCTGTCCCTCCAGGCCTACCATCCCCAGCAGGGCATAGCAGGAAGAACAGTTGCATTTGGAGTCAGAGAGGACCCCCAATTTAAGTTCCAGATAGCTACTTAGCACCCGTGTGACACAAGGCAAGTCAGTTCCCCTATGTGGACCTCAGTTTGCTCATCTGTAAAATGGGCTCCGAGGGCCATCATGAGGAAAGTGTACTCTGTGGTTCTACATAAGCTTGTTCTATTATTTTGAGAGAGGCAGGCTGGTGTGCCTGAAGGTTGGACTCAGAGTCAAAAGGCCAGGCTGACGCTCACCAGCTATTGTAACCCTGGCTTAATACTTCCTTTGTCTAGTCTGGGTCTCAACTTCTTCTTTCATAAAATAGGGGAAATAGGAATTACCCCATCACTTCTCTCACGGGGCTGTGAGGGAACTGCTTTGTAAGCCATAGAAGGCTAGAGAGATGGGGGGATAAAGAGCTTCCTGGCCTAGGGACACCATGTGCTCTCCAAGCTTTGTTTCCCTGCCCCAGCCTTGGGGCCACATCAAGGTGACCCCTAGGCCCCCAGGGACCTATCTCTTCACCGGAAACTCCTCATGTTCTGGGAATCCAGAGGCCTCAGAGCCTCTCCTACTGCCTTCCCCCTTCTCTAGGATTCCAGCAACCCTAATCCCCAACTTCACCTGTGCCAGGGATCCCCAGGGCTCCCCTCCTTGCTCAGGGCCTCCCCCTACCTCTTCCTCGCTCAGGTCTCTTATGATGTCAGTGGTTTCTGTGAACGAAACAGAGACGTGCTCTTCTCAGACCTCATCGAGCTTATGCAGAGCAGCGAACAGTGAGTGGAAGCTGTGGGCACCAGGAGATGAGACAGCCTGAGAACCTAGGGGGCAGGCAGAGTGCTGGAACAGGCTGAAGACTGAGGCCAGTGCAGGGTGGCAGGCAAGGACAAGAAACTGGGAAAAGGTTGAGGCCTTGGGAGTAGAGGGCAGGGGAATAGGGACAGGCTGAAAGACAGGTGGGGTGGGGGGAGTCAGGAAGGGACAGGGAGCTAGGGAAAGGATGTCCGGCCCTTTCTTGCAGTCGTAGAAACTCAAAACTCGAATAAGGCTTAGAAATCATCTCATTCAACTCACACGCTTACCAGAGGAGAAAACCTAAGCCCAGAGCAGGTAGAGGATTTACCCAAGGTTCCACAAATGAGTCAGGGGAGGAGTGGGAACCCCTGGAAGCAGAAGGGCCGGACAGAGTTGGGAGGGAATAGTGTTGCACACTGCCCAAAGCCCACTTGAGTGTACCCCCACAGTGCCTTCATTCAAATGCTCTTCCCTGAGAGGCTGGACTCAGAGAAGAAGGGCCGGCCCAGCACTGCAGGCTCCAAGATCAAGGTAAGAACCCAGGGCTCCCCATCTCTCATCTCGTCAATGTCTCTCCCCCAATCTAATATCTCCATCTTCCTTTCCACAAATCTAGCTTTCTCTCCTCATGTTGGCCATGATCTCCCACCAGCCATGGCTGGAGTCACTCATCCTCACCAAAGTAGCCGGCTCCCAATTGTCCCAGATAATGGTAGCAGCAGTAATTCACATTCAGTAATAATGGTGATAGCAATAGCAACATTCTTAAAATCCTTTAACGTTTGCAAAGCTCAGGTTTATTACTAGCATTATTCTTTCTAACTTGCACCAGATGGCCCTGAGGTCTCTTCCAACCCAAGGTTCTGTCATCCCCGTACTGGTTACATGGGCCAGCTGAGATGCCCAAGTATCCCCAGGTGTTTCTACCCCTGGCTTTGGAATGTTGTCATTACTACCCCAGACATTTCTGCCTAGGATGATTTCATCCCTGGCCTAATTTGGGGGCCTGGAACTTAATATGCTCCTTAGCTTGACTGTCCTCTGCCCTGGTATGCCTCCAGCTTCTCTAGATTTTCACCTAAGGCTAGCCAAACCCAGCCATGCACAGGGGTTAACACCATGGCAGAAAGGAACCAAGTGAAAGTTCATCTTCTCTGTAGCCAGAGCTAATGCCCAGAAGGCAATGTATTTGCTCTTCCCCATTACTGAGCCTCAAGCTACCCCCTTCGTAATCTCCACAGGGGTATGTCCCCTTCCCTATGTGACCTTAGGGTGGGGTTTTAGTCCCCACCCCCTTTAGTGGGCTCTGTCCTTGTCTGTACTGGGGCAGTGAGCCCTCTGTACTTGTCAGTCTATGAGATAAGGTCAGGGCTGAGCACTGGTATTCAGTGGGAATTTGCCTCCTGTGTCCCTGGGAGGGACCTTCTGCATATAGAAGACATGGAGGGTATTTCCTCACCCTTCCACTTTGTATGTCTGTCTTTCCCATGCACTGTGTCGCCCTGCTACGTCTCTGTCTCTTCCCCACGTCAAATCAAGAACCATATATTAAGTGTTTACTCTATGCTAGGCACTGTGCTAAATGCTGAGACTATAGATACAAGCAGAAGGAAAGACAGTCCCTGCCCTCAGGAGGCTTAGATTCTAATGGAGGAAGATAATACACCATGTCTTGTCTCCTTCCCTCTCTACTTACTGGGGCTGTATCAGCATGTGATATGGGTGCCCATGGAGGGAAGGTATGAAGTAGACCCTAGGTCTAGTTTCTCACCTCCATCTCTGTCCTTTCAGAGGCAGGCCAATGACCTAGTGGACACTTTGAAGAAGTGTACACCCCACTACATCCGATGCATTAAGCCCAATGAGACCAAGAGGCCCCATGACTGGGAGGAAAGCAGGTGAGTGGCCCACCATACCAGCTGCCCTTGCCAGAATTACCATCATCTTCACTAATCTCTTGACCCTCAGTGACCTCTGGTGTACTGACCTCCTCATCCCCTTAACTCCCTGCCTCGGTGATTAGGTTTCTTACGCTAATCTCCCACCCCTCATTGATCCCCTGACCATTTCCCTAAGGCCCTGCTTTCCCCAAGCTGAGCCACACTGAGCTATTCTATATACTGACTTCTCCTGATTCTTGATGGACACCAGGGTGAAGCATCAGGTGGAGTATCTGGGTCTGAAAGAAAACATCCGTGTGCGTCGTGCTGGTTTTGCATACCGCCGCGTTTTCTCAAAGTTCCTGCAGAGGTGAGGGGCTGTCCCTAACCCCTGTTCCTAGTGTTTAACCCACAGTGATGTCTTCACAGGTTTTTCACTCATTTATTTATTACATGGTACTGTGGATGTCCCATACCCTACAGCCCGTGGTCCACTGTGCCCCGCCTCCTGGTACAAGGATAGGCATGCCTCAGATGGAGTGGGGAGTGGGGAATAGGGTAAGACTGGGGCTCACCAGGCCAGAAGTAGAATCCGCCCCTCAAGCCCAGTGCCCAGCCCAGCCTTCATACCCACACCACCAGGTATGCCATCCTGACTCCGGAGACATGGCCACGGTGGCGCGGTGATGAACGTCAGGGGGTGCAGCACCTGCTCCGATCTGTCAACATGGACCCTGACCAGTACCAAATGGGACGCTCCAAGGTCTTCATCAAGAACCCGGAGTCGGTAAGTGTGTGAGTACGGTAAGTGTATCTCAGCCCTTGGCTCAATACTTGGACCATAATGTGCCCTCCACGAATGCTCGTTGACTCGCATGAGTGGTGGTTGTGTGCACGGGACCTGCAGGTATGTGTGAACTGTGTGATATGTGTGATCCATGTCAGTCAGCCAATCAATAAACACTCATAAAGGGACCACTATGTGCCAGGAACTGTGAGGGATACGAAAAGAGGCAAAGGGCAGTCCCTACCCCAAGAGGAGCTCATAGTCCAACGAATATATGAGCACTTGTAACCCATGTGCAGTCACATACATGAGCAATCCACATAGTTCATGTTTGTAATCATACATGACCGTGTGTCTCCATGCATATACACAGAGCTTGGGTGATCCATGTATAACCCATGTGTGTGGCTTGAATGTGATAATAATAATAAACATCTTGTTTAGTCATTTCAGTCCTGTCTGACTCTTTGTAACCCCATTTGGGGTTTTCTTGGGAAAGATACTGGAATGGTTTGCCATTTCCTTCTTCAGCTCATTTTGTAGATGAGGAAACCAAGGTAATCAGGGTTAAGTGACTTGTCCAGGGTCACACAGCTAATACGTGTCTGAGGTTGGATTTGAACTCAGGTCTTCCTAACTCCAGGGCCAGCACTCCATCCACTGTACCACCTAGCTGCCCAGGATCTCCTATTTACTATACAGGAGCTTTAAACAACTAAGCCACAGAGACACCTTTAAGATTTGCAAAGCGCTTTTATATATTGTCTCATTTGATCATTTTGGGGATGAAGTAGGGGGCACAGCAGGCTTGGGAACAGGAAGAAAGGGGAGGGTGGCTGTGTTTGAGGATGGGGGAGGAATAGGATGGTTCAAAGCAGGAAGTGGGGGATCCCAGCTTGGATCCCCTGCCTGCTGGGGAGAGGCAGCCTTGGGCCCATCCTGGGTGGGTGAGAAGTTATGGGTTGGGGCTGCTGCTGGCCCATCTCCCTCAGGCCCTCGCCCTCTCTTTCCCCAAGCTCTTTCTGCTGGAAGAAATGCGAGAACGCAAGTTTGATGGCTTTGCCCGCACCATCCAGAAAGCCTGGAGGCGCTACGTGGCCGTGAGAAGATATGAGCAGATGCGGGAGGAGGGTGAGCCATGGGAGAAGTGGGGACGGACAGGGACAGACACTCACTGGATGGGGGAATTGAGGGCCCCGAGCCTTAAGATCTTGCATCCTGGGCCCCCCACAGCCTCCAACATCTTGTTAAACAAGAAAGAAAGGAGAAGGAACAGTATCAACAGAAACTTTGTGGGAGACTACCTGGGGCTGGAGTCCAGGCCTGAGCTTCGCCAGTTCCTGACCAAGCGTGAGCGTGTAGACTTTGCAGACTCCATCACCAAATATGACCGGCGCTTCAAGGTGAGGATGGCCCTGCTCAAGCCCTGGGCCAGACCAGGGAAGGGAACACCTAGATCAATCCCAAAATACAAGTACTTGCCACCAAATCCAGGTGGACTCACTGGGTCCTGGCCCCTGCCACCCAGACAGTCCCTGACACTGCCCTTCCCCCTTCCAAGGCCAGCTAGAGGCCTCTACTCAGTTCCCAACATCCCTATAGACTCAGGTATCTCACTAATACCCCCCATTCCTTCTAGTTCCTCTGCTTAGATTCCCCCAGTACAGAAGGCCCGAGCTTGAATTCCAGACCATTTATGGCCTCTGTGACTTCGGGGGAGTCACTTGATCTCAATGGGACTCAGTTTCCTTTTCTGTAAGATAAGAGTATTTGACTCAATGACCTCTAAAGCTCCTTCACGCTCTGGATCTATGAGCCTATGAGCTTCTAACCCCTGCTCCCCCCAGGCCCAGAGGCCCCCATAATGATAATAAGAGCTCACATTTATACAGGACTTTTTCAAAGAATTACAAAGCACCTTTCCTCTTCCCTCTCAGTCCAGTGCAATGCCTGTTCTTCCCTACAGCCCATCAAGCGAGACCTAATTCTGACTCCTAAGTATGTGTATGTGATCGGGAGGGAGAAGGTAAAGAAGGGTCCCGAGAAGGGACAGATTCAAGAGGTATTGAAGAAGAAAATAGAAATCCAGGCCCTCCGGGGGGTCTCCCTCAGGTGAGCTCAGCTGTTCAGAGACCCATCCATTCATCATCCATTTGCCTACATCTCTTACCTACCCTTTTCCTACTGCCTGGGCCCTTTCTGCAGCCCAGGGATAAGTACTTCAGCAAGGAGAAGACTGGCTAGGCCTCGAGGGCACAATGGATAGAGCACTGGGCCTGGTGTTAGGAAAACCCGAGTTCAAATCTGTCCTCAGGCACTTACTAGCTGAACAACCTTGTGTAAGTCACTTTAACCATTGTCTGCCTCAGTTTCCTCAATTGTAAAATGGAGGTAGTAATAGCACCCACCTCACATGATTGTTGTGAAGATCAGATGAGATAATATTTGTAAAGCACTTAGCAGTAGGCATGCCTATATAATAGTCTTCCTTCCCACCCATTAAGCTGACCGTTTAATGAGATTAATCTAATCCCCACCCATGGATCACTGTCTATTTTGTATTGACCTATCTATGGCTATGTTGTCTCTCCTGATAGAATGTGAGCTCTTTGAGGGTGAGAAATGTTTCACTTTTGTCTACATCCTTAGCACCTAGTCTAATGCCTGGCTTGTTGTAGGCACTTAACAAATGTTGGTGATGATTGATTGATTCCCTGGCCTAGGAAATATTCACTCAGGCCCCTCTCAAATTTACAATACAACACAGGCTCGAGAGTAATAATAATAATAATAATAATAATAATAATAAATGCTGCCTCTGATAGCAGAGACAGCCTCCTCACTGAGGTCTTCAAGCAAAATGGATCCACCTTTTGTCAAGTCTTTTGCAGAGAGGATTATTGGTAAAGTCTGGTTTGGACTAAAATGGCTTCTGCTGCCAATATAATAGCAAGAAGAAGAATAGCTCCCATTGAAGGTTTACACAAAGCTTTCCTCATAGCCACCCAGAGAGGGAGGCAGTGGAAGTGTTATTAGCCTCAAGGCAAAAAGGAGTCCCTGAGAAGGTCACACAGCTGGGACATGTTGGAATGAGGTTTAGATGCAGGGTCCTGAATCAGCCTAGCACTGCTTGGACCATTCCACACTGAAGCGAATGTCCAGTTGCAGCCACTGGGAAGACAGGAGTCCTTTCTGCACGTGTCACGGCTGAATGCCGCCCTGTGACCTTCCCATAGCCCTCACTCCCTTGTCTTTGTGTCTCCTTCCAGCACCAGGCAGGATGATTTCTTCATCCTCCATGAAGTCGGGGCAGACAGCTTCCTGGAGAGTGTTTTCAAAACAGAGCTCATCAGTCTCCTGTGCAAGCGTTTCCAAGAGCTCACTCACAATGCCATGACCCACCTTCAATGACACGTAGGGAGGAGTGGGGTGGGGTAGGGTGGGGCAGTTGGAGCTGGCTCTGGGACCCAGGCTGGACCACTAAAGACAACCCTGTCCAATCCCCTTTGCCAGTTAGGGTTTGGTGTAACGGGTGGGACTTGGAGCTGGAAGGACCCAGGTTCAAATCTGCCTCAGATACTTACTACCTTGAGTAAATCACTTAAGCTCTTTATGCCTTAGTTTCCTCATCTACAAAATGGGAGTGGGGGGTTAAACTTGATGACTTCTACTGTCCCTTCTAGCATTAAATCTATGAAAATAGTAATGTTTCTCCCTTTATCACTTTATCTGAGCCCTACTATATTTTATAAGCCATCATTACCCATCCCTGAATTAGCAATGAGGACAGTCATTTCCAAGAAAAATGACTTTTACAAGATCATTCTGTGTCTACATGGTACAGCAGATAAAGTGCTGGGCCTGGAATCAGGAAGACCTGAGTTCAAATCTAGCCTCAGAGACGTGTCACCAACTTGTGCGACCCTGGGCAAATCACTTAATTTCTGTTTGTCTCAGTTTCTTCAACTGTAAATTGGGCATAATAATAGCATCAACTTCCCAATATTGTTGTGAGGATCAAATGAGAAGATACTTGTGAAGGGCTAAGCACAGTGCATGGCACATAGTAGGCACTTAACAAACGCTTATTCTCTCCCCCCTTCCCTTCCCTACCTCTTGGGTCTCTGAAGGTGGCAAAGGAGCCCAGCTTAGGGGATAGGAAGAGTGGAGGAGGATGGGGGAGGTAAAACAAATAAGGCCAGGGGTCATCCAGGGCTCTCTACCTGACTCCTTCATCCCTCCATCAGACTACAGTTCCGGGTGAAGAAGGAAGGCTGGGGCGGAGGAGGATCCAGGACCATCACCTTCTCCCGAGGTCCAGGAGAGGTGGCCATGCTCAAAGCCAGTGGCAAGACTCTGATGGTCAGCATAACTGATGGACTTCCTAAGAACTCCAGTGAGTATCTGGGGGAAGCTAAGGTAGGGTGGGCTAAGCAGAGCATAGAGGTAAAGAGACACAGAGGGCAGGGCACGTGGAGAGTCTGGGAGAAAAGGGAGAGGGCCAGGAAGAGACACCCCAGTGAGGATCAGTGTCCTCAGGGTCTCAGCTGCTGCCTCCTCACAAGGAAGTCACGGGTAGGGGATAGAGCCCCCTGGGTCACTTTGTCTGAGTGTGCCCCTTTCCCTTGCAGAGCCAACGAAGAAAGGACCTCTACAGGGCCAGAGGAGGAGGCCAGCACCAGTCCGAGCAGCCCCAGCTCCCTCCAGAGGTGAGGACCCTGTAGCTTCCCTGTGCCATCCTTGGCAGGGTATCATCCAAACTACATCAGCCTCAGCTCCCTCCCTGTTGGGCATCTCTCTCTCTGGCTTAGCCCCAGCTTCCCCCCAGGATCTATCCTGCTGCTGCTGCCCCAACTCTTCGACCTCTCCCCTCACTCTGTCCTCAGAGACAAATAGAATCTCACAACGGGACTGAACCTTGGAGAACACTGAGTGCAGCCCTGTTATGCTACAGATGGGGAAACAGAAACTCAAGGAGAATTGGTGATCCATGGTCATATAGAGAGTTGGTGGCAGATCTGAAATTTGAACCCAAATCCCATGGTCTGGCCAATATACTTTAAGTCCAATGCTTTCATTTTACAAATGAGAAAACAGAGACCCAAAGGGGGTGGCTCCATAACCCTAGTGATACCTACCTGAGGTGACCTAGTGAATGGCAGAGCCAGAACTTGAACCTAGGTCCCCAGATTCCAAGGTCAGTGCTTTTTGCACCATGTTAGGCCTCCTTCTCTCACACAAAGAAATACTTTCTTCTAATTTTGACCTTGTAGACAAGTCCATGAGAGATAATAATAATAATAACAGTTCCCATTTCTATTGCATTCCAAGGCTTCCAGAATGCTTCCCTCACAACAACTTCATAAGCTAGGTAGTACAAATATAATCACTCCTATTTTCTAGATGGGGCAACTGAGGATTACAGATGTTAAGTGATTTGTCCAAGATCATTCAGCTGGTGTTAGATGAAACCAGGGTTTGAGCCCTCTTCTTTACTACACCAATAATAATAACTGGTCAGCACGGCCTAGTAGAGAGAGAGGACTGGCCTCAGAATCAGGAAGACCTAGGCCTCTGCCCATTATAGCTGGGAAACACCCCTGAGCAAGTAACCTAATTTCTCCATGAAACAGGCAACTTCCTGAGACCATACAGTGCAGATAATGTGCCTGAGTTTCTTATACCAATAAATCGCAGATTTGGACTGAAAAACTAAGCAACCAACTATCTCCTACTTCTAGAGCAGCTGAAGGTTTACAAAGGAAAACTTGATCTATTTTTCTTCCCAACATACCTATAACCTAGGCCAGAGGTGGGGAACCTGTGGCCTCAAGGCCACATGTGGCCCTCTAGGTCCTCAAGTGCTGCCCTTCACTTCATCTTTAGTTTGGATTCAGTCAAAGGGCCACACTTGAGGACCTAGAGGGCCACACGGCCTCAAGGCTGCAGCTTCCCCACCCCTGATAGGCAGTGTGAATATTTGTAAGATCCTTATTTTATAGATGAGGGAATGCCAACCTAGAGAGGTCAGGTGACCTGCCACAGCCAGTGCCTAAAGCAATTAGCACATACTAACACCAACTAGAAGAGGGCCCTGAAAAAGTTTCCTTGGAAGAGCTGGCCCCTAAGCTGAGCCTCTAAGAAAGGCAGTGAGATGGGCCAAGGAGATAGAGGCCATCTGCTGGGAGCACCTTCTCCCTACTCCATACTTCCAAATCTTTCAGCATCATTTCCATTCTCTCCTCTGTTAATGATAGAAATAATAATAATTCACCTTCAACTGAACATGTATTAAGTACCTACTGTGTGTAGAGCCTAATTAGAAAAAATGACACTGTCTTTGCCTTCAAATATCTTACACTCTAATTTTATCTTATTTTTGGACCACTCCTAAAATTTTAGTAGAATTAGGAATTCCCAGTGAAGAAATTCCCTCTAGCAATGCAGATCCATGCCCAATTTAGAGTTTTAGAAAGTTGCTTAAAGAAAGATGTTAAGTGATTTACCCAGGGTCACACAGTTAGTATGTGACAGAGATGGGACCCGAAGCGAGGTCGTCATGACTCCAAGGATGATCCCATGCTGGTTTGCTATTCTACATGTGCTCTCTATGAGCTGAAAGTCATGATCAAATATTTACACAGTTAAATATGATTATGATGAGGTCTAGAGGTTTAGGGGTGCTGGAACTCCAAAATCACAACACATGAGTCCTGCCTGTAAGAATTCAGCCCAATCCTCCTTTCAGCCAAAGACAAGGTTTATTAAAGATCCACCATATTGGCCAGACTCCTAAGGAATCTGAACACCTGTGAGCTATTGGCTAGATTTTAAGAATCTGAGCACCTTGATGGAGACATGATGGACCTTACATACAGAAAGACAGTGGGAGAGACCTAGCAGTGGCCAAGTAGTCTGCAGGGTAGTCTGTGAGGTAATAGAGCACCGGGGACCTGGACCTTGTGGCCAAGGGCAAATGGAGCCTAGCTAGGATTAAGGGTGGGAAGTGGCCAGGGGCCATAGGGAGGTAAGACAATGGAGGGCTAGGCTAGGATAAGGGTAACAGAGAATTGGGAGATTGGGCAAAGCCACAATGAAAGGCTAACTCCAGAGATCTAGCCATGTGGGAAAATCCAGGGTTTTTCCTTTTTGGGGTCCAGATCCCATCCTCATCAATACTAGGACATTCCCAGTGCCAGAATTTGTTGTTCTTGATCACATATATTTGGTACGAGGGCTTTGTTTTTTTTTTCCTTTTTCAAGTTGGAAAGAGGTGAGAGAGAAGATGGATTTCTGTTATTGAAAAAAAATTTAATGTTTAAAGTTTAATAACAGAGAGGCAATGATCAGGCAAAGGGGAGATCCTGGAAGTCAGTCATTCAGTCACCAAGCATTTATTAAGCTCCTTCTATGATAAAGGAACATTTGTTTTTTAAAAATAATATTTTATTGGGGCAGCTAGGTGGTGCAGTGGATAGAGCACCAGCCCTGAAGTCAGGAGGACCTGAGTTCAAATCCATTCTCAGACCAGACACTTGACACTAGCTGTGTGACATGTAGCCAAGTCACTTAATGCCAATTGCTTCACCAAAAAAATTATATATATATTTTCCCCAAGTACTTGTAATGGCAATTTTAACACCCACTTTTTAATTTGTTTTTGTTTTTTGGTGAGGAACATTTGTAAAGAGAGAATGTGTTTGTAGCTAGAGGTCTTAGAGAAGTTGTGGTCCCCAAGAATACATAAGGATTTCAACCAGAGGAGTATGTTTCAAGGATGGGAGATGGCCTGTGGGAAGACAGGATGAGATTGGGGAATAGTGAGCATTATGGTTTCGCTAGTGTGCTACATTAAATTGAAGTAAAATGAGATCAGGCCCAATAATTAGGTTGGAGCCAGAGTGCATGGATAGAAATATAAGCTCTCTGAGGGCAGAGAGCACTTGTCACTTTTGTTTTTTTTAATCCTCAGCACCTGGCACACTGCCAAGCACTCAGTAGGTGTTTAATAAATCCTTGTTGATTAATTGATTATAAAGCCCTTGAATGCCAGGTTGTTCTTAAGCTTATTAATTCGATGCAATTCATCAAGCACTTGTTACCCTCAAAGAATAAAAAAGGTTATATGTTGGACCATTCTGTTATTTATGCTAGAAGCAGCATGGAGCTGGTGAGGGTCTTGGAGCAAAGGGGGGATATAAACAGACTTGTGTCTCAGGAAGATCATTTTGGCTGTTGGGTGAAAGAACAGCGGAGAAGCTAGAAGACGGTTAGGAGATTCTTACAATGATCCAGACATGAAGGAATGGAAGCTTGGACTAGGAGTACTGTCTGTGTGAGTGGAATGGAAGAGACAAATATTAGCTATATTTCATTCTTTTCCCACAATCCCATATCCTCCAAGCCCATGTGTTCTACCCTGTAATCTATATGACTGATTTTTTTTATTCATTTATTTTTGTTCCATGCAATTTTCATTTATGACTTTTTGAAATATAGCTCTGAAAAACATGATCTTTTATTTATTTTTATTTTTTTTATTTTTTTTTTAATTTTTCTAGGCAATGGGGGTTAAGTGACTTGCCCAGAGTCACACAGCCAATGAGTGTTAAGTGTCTGAGGCCGGATTTGAACTCAGGTCCTCCTGAATCCAGGGCCGGTGCTCTATCCACTGCGCCACCTAGCTGCCCCAAAACATGGTCTTTTAAAAAGCCCACTGTGATTCAAATGGACTAAGCCTTTAGACCCAAATCACTCTGGCTTTCCTTAAATAGCCAACAACAGGTCCCAGCCCAAGTCTCTCCTGGCCATCGTTTGGGTTTTGATGGCTCAGAGTTGAGCATAATTGCTTTCTGTTCTGGCCAGGAACTGTAAGGGTCTTCCCTCCCAAGCTGATTCTTTTGTGATGGAACACGAGGCCTTCTTTAAGTCTCAATTCTTACCTAGCCTTAATCATTGAATGGACATGACCTTAGACTGAGAGGTAGAAAAGATCTTAATGTAGCAAAGCCAAGGTCACCCACTGCATCCCGGCCATCACCAGTTGTCTTAACTTTTGTCTGGACTTTGATGACTCTGGAGGAGAAGCCCTTAGATCCAATTCACTGGAAAGTCGAGCCCTCATGATGTCATTGGTCCTCTTCCAGAATGATGAACAACAATATGACTCACATCTTCTTCTATGTCTCAAGTTTCTGTCCTGTCATCCACGTCTTTGGAAGCTGTCTCACTTTCCCATGGTGCTGAACGTCCCTAAAATTTGTGTTTTGTGGCTTATAGTTCTGTTGATCATATCCAATGACCCTATGGTTTCCCACATTCCCATTCCTAAACCCTGCCCCTGTCTCCTTCTCATTTTGCAGGGCCAACTCAGAATAGGGCACCCTACACGGCCCGTGGTGGCCCCTTGCCCCTGCCGCAGATGTCAATGGGGAGTGGCCCAAGGTCACAGCGGGGACCTCCAGCTGCAGCACTGGGGAGTGGTGGGAGTAGCCGAAGGCCCCACAAGCGACCGCCCTCTGAGCACAACATGGAGTTCCTCAACGTGCCTGATCAGGGGATGGCCGGGTAGGTTCCAAGGTCACTCCCAAAGAGTGATATTTAAAAACATTTAAACATACTCCCTCACTCTATGTCTAGGGACTTCTGGGGATGGAAACTGGAAGGGATCAGAGGGACAGGGTGACCCCAGGCAACTCTCTGAGAGAAACACCCCCTTGCTGGTTCTCTTATGGTCCCATGGGTATGATCTATCTTCTTGGTGGGCCATCCCACTATCGACAGGAGTCCCTCCCCTATCTTGCTGCCTCCCACAAGCAGCCTGGCATTTATGCCCCCACAGGATGCAGCGAAAGCGAAGCATTGGGCAGCGGCCTGTGCCAGGTGTGGGACGACCCAAGCCTCAGCCCCGAATTCCAGGTCCACGTTGCCGTGCCCTTTATCAATATGTGGGCCAGGATGTGGATGAGTTGAGCTTCAATGTCAACGAGGTCATAGAGATCCTATTGGAGGGTATGTAGGCACTGGTAGGGACTGGTGGGTGTCTAGGTGGGCATCCATCCGCTTATTGGCTCCCATCCCATCACAGCTGTGAAGAGGGCTCTTGTTTCCATGGTACTGTTTCTCAGGGGGTAGACTCACACATCAGTAGTAACAGCCTTCAGGAATTTTACAGCTGGGAAGAGCCTTAGAGATCATCAACTTCTGCTCTGTGCTCCAGTGGAGGGAGCTTTGGCCTGGAGTTAGGAAGACCTGTGTTCAGTTCTAGCCTCAGATACTTACTAGCTGTGTGCCCCTGGGGCAAATGCGAGTGGACCTGGGATCACTTTCGGCATGGCCAACAGGATAAGTAGCATTCAAATAACACTTTAAGGTTTGCAAAGCACTTTACGATTCGATTCTCATTAGATCCTCACCACCAATCTGAGAGGTAGGTGTTGTTATTATCCCCATTTTACAGTTGAGGAAACTGAGGCAAACAGAGGTTAAAGCTCTGTCTGTCTCAGTTTCCTCAATTGCACCCACCTCACAGGGTTTTTTAGAGATCAAATGAGATACTACTTGTAAAACACTTACCACATTGTCTGGCACATAGCAAGTGCTTAATAAAATGTTCCCTTCCTTCCTACCTATTTCAACCCTCTCATTTTACAGACAGAGAAACTGAGGCAAAGAGAGGGAAAGAGACTTGACTAGAGTCACACAGCTTATCAGCAAATGAGTCAGAAAAGACACATGCACACAAATAGTCACGAGGCATGTATTCAAAGGGCTGGACTAAAGACTGGGCTAGGGACTCACTCTGACCTTTGTCTCTTCTTCTCCTTTGCAGATCCATCAGGCTGGTGGAAAGGCCGCCTGCATGGCCAGGAGGGCCTTTTCCCTGGAAACTATGTGGAAAAGATCTAAGACCCCAGGAAATTTGGGAGTCAGAATAACGGAATTCTTTCCAGCCCTTCGCATCTGCCTCATCCCTGCTCCAAACTTCCAGGGGAGCTGAGACCCCCATCGTGTCTCATCCCATCCCATGCACCTCTCAGAAGTCTGGCAGCTACGGGGGCAGCTCAAGGCCCCTGGCTTTTTCCATGAGGAGCTGGGTCCCTACCCCAGAAAACCCCTCCTCCCCTATTGATTCCTGCCCTCTTTCCCAGCCCTCCCCAGGAGGAGCCAAGTACCTCTCCTTCCTCAGGGAGAAGGAGTATGGCAGGTAGGATAGGCCTTTTCCCGACCAGACCCTAACAGGCTGAGACTTGGGAGCTGGGGGAGAGAAAAGAGAGACCAAGGACAAAGGACTGGACAGCCACTGCCTGGGCCTAAATCTGCCAAAGGAAAGACTCAGAAACAATGCCTCTACTAACAGACAGAACATGGTTTGGTGTCTTCCTTCACAGGTGATACAGCAGGTAGCCTGAAGTCAGGAGTTCAAAGCCTGCCTCAGATACTTCTTAGCTGTGTGACCCTGGACAAGTCATTTAACCTCTGTTTGCCTCAGTTGCCTCATCTGTAAAATGGGGATAATAACAATACCTACCTCCCAGATTGGTTGTGAGGATCTAATAAGAATCTAATTATAAAGTGCTTTGCAAACCTTAAAGTGCTATTTGAATTCTAATTATCCTGACGACAACACCAAATGTGATCCCAAGTCCCAGACTACCCACACTCCAGGCCATGGCAGAGGCCTTTGAGATCATCAAGCCCAAACTTCTCATGCTGCAGATGGGGGAATTGAGAACCAAAGAGGGGAAAGGACATGCCCAAGGTCATCTAGCACATCGGTGGCAGAGCCAGGATTTGAACTTGTTTCCCTTATCTTTAAACCCAGCACTCTTCCCATCCTACAACTCAGGAAGATACTGCCTTTATTTCCTTAGGGAAGTTCCTTCACTTTTGGGGGAATTTTTTTCCCATTTGAAGGGCATTGGACTTAGTGACCTATAAGATCCCTTCCAACTTTAAATCCTATGACCCTATGAAAGTCTATAGACCCTGAATTTCTATAGACCATTCAGGTTTACAAAGCATTTTCCTTCAAAGTTGGTAGCATAATAATAGTAGTCCATGGGGGACCTTCACCACAGAACTCTCATTTAGCTACACCAGGTTCTAGGTATTTTGGAGGTCAGGATCTTTGCTAAACCTTTGTTCCTGAGCCCCCACCAGCAGCACATATTACTTCTTACCAGTCTGCCCAATGATACAGTTAATAACAAAGGCATTAAATAGTAAATAAAGTGATAAAACATTGCCCTCTCCCACCATGAAATCACTCTCTCACAAATACATACATACATAAGACTCAGCAAAAAGAGTAGGTTTTCACAGGAATTACATGTGGAGCATGCACACATGGGGAATATATGAACACATCGGGGAACATGGGGCACCCGAATAAAGGAAGGGAAGGAGGATATATTAAGTGTTTGACTGTGTGCAAAGCACTGGGCTAAATACATGGGACCCAAATAGAAAAGTAAGATATTCCCTGAGGTCAGGCTCACATTTTAATGATGGAGACAACACATATGGAAGATTTTAGCTATAAATCAGATGGAAAGGTCCCATGGTCCTCAGCCTGCAGCAGCAAAGCAGATGTTGATGCATCTTTCATGTCATTTCCACTTATAAAAATATCAGTTCCTGATGTCGAGCCATGTGACAGTGCCAAGGACTCCGGTGGCAAGAACTTTCTCTTCTGGGTCTTCTGTGGCTGTGACTATACCCCCTGCCAGATCAGTCACCAGGCTATATCTCCACGAAAGGGCTACACACACACTCAGGGAATGCTGGATCAAGGAACATCTTCCTGGAAGGGAAATTCATACTTTTGACACTCCAAAACCACCATTGTTTCCTACTGGTGAGATCACGCTGCTCCCTGGTGGACAGCACCCCTCCAAGCTCTGCTCCAGGCTGTTCTTTGCCAGGTGCTAATCTCTGCTTAGTTGTCCTTTCAGTCACTTTGATTTTTCCCTTGGAAATAGTGTGATTAATAAAGCTCTCTTAGGCAGAGAAGATACAGCTTTCTTCAAGCAATAATTGCTGTGAAACTTTAATTTGGCTTCTCAGCCAATGGAGATGAAATTGTCATCAGCAGGGCTACACAATTAGGTAAAGAGGCCTAGGTTGCCATCAGGCCAACACTTTGAACTCCTCTGTTAACTGCTTCTCTTCCAAATTCCCCTCACTTCTCTCCATTATCTTTTTTTTAAATAATATCTTATTCCCACCCCCCAGTTACACATAGAACAATTTTAAATATCTTTTTTAGAAGTTTTGAGTTCCAAATTTTCATCCTCCCTCTCTCCCCTCCGCCCTCCCTGACACAGTAAGGAATCTAAGTTATACATGTGTGATCATGTAAAACTGTTCCATATTAGTAATTTTGTGCAAGAAGATCCAAACAGGAAGGAAAGAAAAAAGAAAGAAAGAAAGAAAGAAAGAAAGAAAGAAAGAAAGAAAGAAAGAAAGAAAGAAAGAAAGAAAGGAAGGAAGGAAGGAAGGAAGGAAGGAAGGAAGGAAGAAGGAAGGAAGGAAGGAAGGAAGGAAGGAAGGAAGGAAGGAAGGAAGGAAGGAAGGAAGGAAGGAAGTGTTGCGGTCTGAGAGGCAGAGAGGTTGTGACCCCTCAAAGACTGAAGTACATGGGTCATCTGGAATGAATTCACAGACTCAAGCATTCTTTAAGCCAAGGTGGCAAAGTTTATTGTTACGCTTTTCAGCAGGCAAGGATTCTTAAGGATCCTGCAACCTTAGAGAGGTACAGTTAAAGTTTATATAGGATAAAACATAATAAAACGTGCCAAATATGCTAACTAGGGGATTCAGGGTGGGATTAGGGAGTGGTTAAGGAGTGGTCAGTTCTAAAGGAACATGCACTTCTTGTACTTACTGTGCAGGCGTTTTACCCAGAATTCATTAGAAAAAGCCCTCAAGGGGGGCCACACGGAGGTGTGGTTTTAGGCCTACTAGGGTCACTAAGTCAACCAAAGTTCAGGGTAACTGAGAGTTGTCCAGTTTGCCACCGATCAATGTCTTGTTTGACAAGATAGATGTAGGGAGTATACATATGTCTTAAGTCTAGAATACAGTTAATGAGGAGCTCAGGATGTAGATAATGAGGTAGGGCGGTAGGATAGTATAGTAGTGGGTAAGAATGTCTTTATGACCCAGCGCAAAGCCAGTTTAAACTAATAAATCCTTCAGGTGCTGTTTGTAACTGTACCAGGGAAAGAGATAATGGTCTTGCTGGGGCCCACTCATGAGTAATTGCTAAACACAGTCCTTGGGCTGGGGAGAAACTTTCAGGGATAGTGTTTCTGAGGCTAGGGAGAAATTGGGGTCCAAGTACAAGCACCCAAACATAAGCACCCAAGTACCACATCAGGAAGGAAGGAAGGAAGGAAGGAAGGAAGGAAGGAAGGAAGAAGGAAGGAGGGAGGGAGGGAGGGAGGGAGGGAGGGAAGGAGGGAGGGAGGGAGGGAATGAAGGAAGGAAGGAAGGAGGGAGGAGGAAGGATAATATCGCTGTTACAGAGTACAATGTTCTCCTGCTTCTCCTCACTTTGCTTCATATCAGTTCATGTAAGTCTTCCTGAGTTTTTCTGAAATCATCCAGCTTGTCATTTCTTGTCACTTCTTCTAAGGAAGCTTTTGCCCTCACTCCAGAAAAATCTTTCTGTTTTATGCAAAACAGCAATTGTCCAGAGAATTCTGAGGCACCATGACTTTTTATTCTGTTTTGTCCAGCAACAATACAGCTTGTTCTTTTCCTTCAGCCTCCCTACAACTATCATTCTTCTCATTTTACATCTGTCCAAGGTCAAATTAAGTGGCAGAGCCAGAATCTGAATCCAGATTTCCTGACTCCAAATACATTGTGCTATTTATACCCTCACCAGACAGAAGAGCTTAGATTTCATACTGTTAGAAACAGGGGGGCATTAAAAGTTCTTGAGAGGGGAAGTGACCTTATTTGTTAAGAAACTACTGATTTACAAAAGTTTAATCTGGCTTTCTGGAGAAAGAAATGGCAAATGACTCCAGTATCTTAGCTAAGAAAACCTCATGGACAGCATGGGTGTGCTGTGGTTTACAGGATCACCAAGAGTCTGTTACGTGTGAACAATTGAACAACAAATATGACTTTGGAAAGAGGAGAGAATAGAGGTAGGAAGGCCAGTGAGGAAGCTAGTATAAGAAAACAAGGGAGAAGGTCTAGACTGGGCTGGGAACCACGAGGAAAGAGAGGAGGGAATGGATATATTGATTGATTTATTCATTCGGCATGCTCATTAATTATGTACTATGTGCAGACAACTATGCTGGATGCTGGAGAAAATAGAAATTTAGATAAGGCACAATTCTTGGCCTCATGAAGTTCACAGTTTAGTAGAAGAATAAGATACAAACACAGGTAACTCTAATGCACATTATTACATTCTAAATTTATTAGAGAGGCACAAATAGCATGTTATGTGAGATCTGAAGATAGAAGTTTTGGTGGGAAATAATGAGAACCTTGAGAAGAAACCATCACTCCATCTTAGAATTTGTAATAAGGAAGAGGGGAGATTGTGGTAAGAGGGCACATTAGGAGTTAGAGGATTACAGGTCCCACTTAGACAACCCCAATGTAAAAACAGTGTAAAAACAATGTAAAAGCTGTAAAACCAGGCCGGAAAGAACAAGGATAAATAAAGCAAGAAGCATTCAGCTATAAACACCTCCCTCTAATACTGCACAAAAACACTGCCATAATTCTATACAAGCCCTGAGGGGTGACAAGCCAGGGGATGTGGAAGATGAAGAGTAAAGTAATCTGGCCCCACAATAGACAGGGCCAGTGTCTGCTCTGGGTTTATCCTATAGTGCAGCTGGAAATATAGTCAGCCCAACATCCAGGCAACCCAAGCCCAGCCTGGCATCCAAGCAGCCTAGGTCTGAACCACAGAAAGAAAAGGTCAGACAGTTCCTATAGAAAGCAGAGCAAAGTCTTGACCACCACACTCAGGATCAAACAGGGTCTGCCCATACCATCCAAGGGTATGTGGGAGTAGAGTTTGAATCAAGCACAAGTCCCTAATCCAGAAAGTGAAGCTGGAGATAGGAGTAAACAGAGGAAAATGCCAAATACAATGGAGAAATGGGTGAAGAAAAGACCCAGGGGCATACCTGAAAGAGCTCCAGGTCCAAGTATTAGTTCAGAGAAAAAAAATATCCTCCACATAAAGACTACAAGAGCATTTGGGAAGAAATGACACAAGGGCTACAAAGTGGAATAGCTAGGGAGGAAACAATAACAAGGAGAACACATATTTTATAGCAGACAGTGGTAAACCTAGCCCAAAAACTGAACTCCAAAAAGTAAAAGTTTAAAAAAAAATTTTTTTTAATTTAAAAAAGAATTGAACTCCCTGAAAATCAGAATGGGCCAAAAACAAAATCAAAAACAAAAACTCAATGAGACAATAAGAAATATTAGTGA